TTAATGCTTCCAGTTCAATAATGTCTGGGTGTAATATGGATACCAAAGTTTGTGGACAGAAGTGACTTCCAAGTTGACAGTGTCTCTAAGCATTTAGTTTTGTTCTTTTCCTAATTTTGTGGCCCCTAGTTTGAGTAATTTTAATATATCTCATTTTAATAAATGTGTGCAAAGATGCAGTTTAATTTCTGAGTAAATCAGGTTAGGTGCTCTTGTAAATATATAAAATATAATCATTGGTTCAGTTCTCTATCTGTTATGTATAATGCATGATCAGTTGTGATGTAAATTTGCTACTTGGAATGTCCCTAACCATTACAGCAATTCTGACTATTGAACTATTTTTGACATTACAGTGGACTAAAGAGGATGGACATAGAACTGCCACCTCTGCTGTCCCTAACCTGTTTGTTCCATTGAACACTAACCCAAAAGAAGTCCAAGAAATGAGGAACAAGGTTTGTAATAGCAGTTATATACTTTAATTTGCAATCACTGTTGATTATAAATTGCATACCTGTAAGGAGCTGATACATTTAGCTTTTAATGGGGTCTTGTAGCAATCAGAAGAATGGCATCTGCACTGTCCTCACCTTTCAAACTAGAGGCAAAAATCAAGAACATTTAGCGATGAACTAAGTTCTGAAAAAGATAGACTTTTGTTACCTATCTTATCAAGACTTCTTTTGTCTCCTCTTTCACTCCATCAGGACAGTTTTTTTTTTTTTTTATATTTAATTAGATTCAAAAATGCCAATTTTTAAAAACCTAGCCAAACCCAGTTATATTAACCTCAGACCTGCTCTTCAGCTACAGCATGGGTGGCAAAATTATCTGGCTGTGCATGCCCTATCTGGTCTGATACAGGTGCTGCATGCAGCATGCACCCTGAACCAGCTAGGAGTGCTACTACCAGTACATGCTCCAGCTTGAGCCTCATGCTGTGCATGGGGTGCGGTGCTTGGCCAGTGTTTATACCTGGTGCTAAGTAATAAATTTCTAGGTGATTTTTTTTTTTTTTTTTTGTGGAGAAGGGAGGGGCACAGGTGGGGGGAGGAGGCAGTTACTGAAAATGAAGTAGCTGCACACATAATGTTTATTATTCTGCTGCTTATGGTGTGGCCATGATATGGTGTGATCACTCCTGTGGTAGGAATTAAAAACTTATTCTAGGCATTGTACCATCATAGAATAGTGTGGGGGTAGCCAGCCTGTGACATGTGCCACGAATGCCTGTATGTGCCTCTATGCATGGCATGCTGCAGATCAGAGAATGTCTTGCTGTTAATTGATGCCAGTAGTAGAAAGGGTAAAGAATTCTTGTGGGTCATATCTCTTATTGGACCAACTGCATGGTTGGGATGGATGTAGGCAAACTTTCAGGTATCATAAGTACTTTACTCAGAGTTCCCCACGAATTCTTGCCTCTTGTATATTTTCTGGACTATCACAACAACAGCATCATCACCCCAACACTATGACTGACATGAAAACCATTTAGTGCTAACTGTCTGGTTTAAGGTCAGAGATGGAGCAGGCCCTTTCATTGTCACACAATGATGTGGAATAATTTATTGTTTAACACGGGAAGTGAAATACAACATAAACAATCCAAAAGCATAGATGCTAAGACTGAAATCTCTTCTTGTGGAAGGTTCAAGTGGTCAGAAGTTAAAGTTTGCTTCTTTGTACTACTCAGGCTGATGGTACAGTGTTTTTTGTGTAGATATGCGTGTCTTTAAAATGCCTGGTCTAACAACGGTAATTTAACTTGGGTTGAGTCCTTCCTGAGTGGAAAAATATTTCCATAATTACAAAGCCACAGAGTGAAGACTGCTGTTTAACAAATAACCATGTATTTGTCGTGTATAAGAATCGAACATTACAATATGAAAAATTTTAAAACAAATTGAAATAAAAAGAAAACTGTTTTCATGAAGTTTCCTTATTCCAGCTAAGAGAAATTTGAAGAGTAAACCAAGATTATAAATAGGATAGAGCAGGGGAAGGCAATTATTTGGGCCTGCAGACCACATAGGGAGTTTTGGTGAGCTGTTGTGGGCTGGGTCAGCACCCCTTCACCCCATACAACAGCTCACCAAAACTCCCTAAGCAGCCCCATCCCATCCACCTGGCTGCATGCCCTGCCCACGCAGGTTCCAGCCACTCCCCGAGGAGACCTTTGGATCATAGGGTGGTGACAATGTGGGGCTGGGGCCTGGGGCAGAGCCTCAATCTGCTCCCTGCATGCCCCTGCCTGCAGAACCAGCACCCATCACAGGGGCATACAGGTGGCAGATCATGGCTCTGCTCCATGCTTGGCTGGGATGGGGCCACAGATGGGTGGATGGGCGGGGAGCAGCATCTGGGAGGTGGGTGGGGCTGGGGCTGGGATCACGGGGCCCTGGCCCCACGCTGTCACTGTCCTGCAAGCCCATTCATGGTATAGAGGAAGCAAGTTTTTACATTTTTCAGTGTTTAATCTCAAGTATTGATAGTAATTTAGGTAAAGTTGTTTTTTATTTCAACATATAAGTCAAATGTCCCTTTAACATGTGACTTAAAGAATGGCCATCTCTAAATGCATCCTCCTCTGCAGCTTCACAAATGAAATAATTTATTGAGTCAGTTGTTATAACTTCATTGTGCTCACAAGACATGCAAGTTCAGGAATTATTGTGTTTCCATCCTCACATTCTGTCAGAAAGGAACTTAGAAGCAGTAAAGAAATAACAGAGAAAGCCGGTGGATATACAAGTAGACACTGTGCTGTTTGGTGATTTTTACTTTTATAAATATCCTTTTGTACATATACAAATGTCAGGTTATACACTTTCAAAGAGGCGACAGTCTATGTGCCCTGGTGAATCTATAGGCCTCATTGTCAAGTTTGCAGTGGGAAGGTAAGGTGCCATGGTTGAACAGTATTTTTTGAAAACTTTTGTTGGTTTGGATTTCTGTTCTGTGGGGAGTGGCTATGGCATATGGCTAGGGGCAACAAGACTGAACATGGTCATGGTTAAATAAGGTTCACTATGGTAAAAGAATGACCCGGAGTGAAATGCTGAATGAAAATGCTTTTTCCCCACAAATTGGCTTTCTCTCCTACCTGATTTTCTACTTTTTATCCCATGCTAGAAATAAATGGTGAAGGAGAGCTTGTGCTGTGGTACTTAGATACTAAGTTGATGGGCATATAAAAAAACTCACCTAGATCAGTAGGAATCCAGTAGTTCTTCACCTCGTGTTTGTCACAGCTTCATTGACATCCGCAGAGCTGTGGTTTAGATTCATAGACTGTAAGGGGCTGGAAGGGACCTTGCAAGATCATCGGGTCCAGCCCCCCTGCACTAGGCAGGAAAGACAACAAGGGTCAGGTGACCCCATCAAAGTGACTGTCCAGTCTCCTCTTGAAGATTTCCAGGGTAGGTGATTGGCTGATTGCACCACCTCTGGAGGGAGCCCCTGGTGATGTACTCTAGATCAGCGGTTCCCAAACTCTGACAGATTGCGCACCACCAATTTAAAACAATAAGATCTTAAGTACCACCAGCAAATTTTTCAGTTAAACCTTAATTACCACCAGCAATTTTTTGTCATATAAAGTAATTATAATAAGTCTGTTCACGTGTACCACTGACAGGCTGTCAGCGTACCACTGGTGGTACCCATACCATAGATTGGGAACCACTGCCGTAGATGAAGTTCTGTCCCTGAAGCCTACTGACAGACTATTTTCTCCAGCTGAATTGACACTATGAATTTCTCTCTACGGTTTGCATGTATTTATTCTGCTGTTTTCTTCACAGATCCGGGAGCAAAACCTACAAGATATTAAAACTGCTGGCCCTCAGTCACAGGTTCTTTCTGGGGTAGTTGTGGACAGGAGTCTTGTGCAGGTGAGAGCACAGAGTGCCTACAACATAATTAAAGTTAATGTGCAATATCATCTATTTTCACCTAATATGTCACTATAAAATATTCTTTAATTGGCAGAGAGTAACTATTTATAAGGTAAGTGTTAGAGGTAATGCCATTGTCGTTGCGAGAGTGCTCAGGGTCAGAAACGTAGAGGCTTAATTGTGTAGCTAAAGCATGTCTGAGATGCTGTTGGATTCATTGCTGAATGTAATGCATGAAATTTGAAAAAGGCTTTATGTGGGTGAGAATCCTAATGTGCTCAGAACTAGTCGGGCTTTGTGACAACTTGGGCTTTTTCATGTATATGTACCTTAAAATTTAAGAGATGCGAAATAGCAGGTTCACCTTTCGTAATAATGGTTATCAAATGTAAGCTTATACTTCACAACCGACTATTTGAATAACAATTAGGCATAAAAGGAAACTATTCTTGGTGTGCATCAACAGTAAAACTGTTCCGGTATAAGTAGTGTATTGGGGTACATTGAATAAAGATGTTATCTTTCCATTATTGTTTAAAGTCGGATAGTTATGCAATCCAGAACACAGCCCAGTGACTTAAGTTATCTGCTTTAATTGGTACTAGTTAAGTATTTTCTGATGTACTTTATGAAGTATGACTAGTCAAATCACAATCATAGCGTTATTCAGTCTGGGTGTGATGTTGTGTGCATGTCAGTTCATTGTCATTGCTGTTTTACCAGTTATTGTTTTCTGCATGTTTTTAGCTAGCATCATAATGCTCTTGGTTGATGTTTTAAAGCCCGGGCTTGGTTTGCTCTGTTTACTCAATTTACTGTTGCAGGATGCTCCCCTCTCAGACTGTACGGAAACTATTGAAGGGCTCGATCTCACAGAGCAGGCCTTTAGTCCCGCTAAATCTCTCTCTGTTAGAAAGGTACTTACTGCCCTGTCATACTGCTCTAAATACTGTTGTTCACCCTTCACTTTTACCTCTTTCTTACCCTGATTTGTTCCCTTTTTTAGGTAATGATTTGGCAATTAAAAAAGTGACTAGATGGATCTACAAATTATGTATGTGTGATTATATAAGCCATTAAATGACCCTTTTAAAGTGCCTTTTGTATTTTTTATTAGTTTCTTTTCTATATCTTCAAGCTGGTGGATAACATGAAATAGTGTTTGAAGATACGCTGCTGATCAAGAATTCTGCATGTGGTGTTTTGTGTGTGCATGATGTTGTCTGTGTTTGATAATCCTAATTTGAGATCCATTTTGAGCTTGCCCAGTCTCCGCCTGAGTACATCAGTGTAATTCCAAAGATATCCACAGGTTCAGGGTTTTTCAGGTTTACAAAAAGAAACCCCAAAACCTCCAACCCCTCTTCTTCCCCCCCGATTTAATGGTCCTACGTTGTGAGGTGCTATGTGCCTCAGTCAGTCTTCCTGTAGGGGAAGCTGAGATACAGGAGATGCTCAACAGTGCAAATAACTGGGCCTCAATTATGCTAATTTTCAGTTAATGAATAAATAGACAATATCTGTGGCTTGTTATAACATGCAGTTGAGGTACAAGATAAATGTAAACTGTGTTCTTTATTCACTTGGAAGGCTGAGTAAAATTGGAGCAGTTCCCATAGTGGAAATTTTTCAGTCTATCCTTTGCTCTTCTTCCTTATCATATGTTGACAGGGTCCATAGCATCTGTTTACCATAGAATTTCAGCAGGTAAACATGTGTTCTCGTCTCTCTTTTCAGCCCCTAACCTATCAAATTTCCAAATCCGTTGTAAGCCAAATAGGATGTGCCTTTTTCCATCAGAATATTTATCCTCTTAAGGATTGACAATAATTTGAAATATATTGTTGTTGCTAAACTTGTGATTTTTTTTTTAAACATTCCATCTGTGATCAGCCAGCCTGCGGTGTAGATACAGCATGTACTGTAATGCTGTGCATTTGGTAAACACGTTTTTAGGCCCAGGCTCATACCGTTGCCAAAAGATACCCATACTCTGTGAGGCAATAGCTTGCTTTACCACATCTAAGGCTAGAAAACAAAAACCCAAAGCAGACACTTCAGAGCAGAGTCTGTCCTTCACTTTGCCAACTTCTCTGCTTAATCAATTAAGCAGAAAACAAAAGAAGAAATATCTGTTTGTTGTCACAGCATGCAGTACTGTTTTTCCTAGCAAAATACAAGACTTTTTTCCAACTCTTGTTAATAATGTCATTACAAGATTATTTGCATACAAGTATTAAGATAAAAGCCTGAAAAATGGGAAAATAACAATAGTATGATCTTATCAGTGTGTAATATCAGAAGTAAAAGCCCAAATGATGTACTCTTTTCTCTGTTTGGTGTCATGAAAATACCATAAGAGCAAAATGTTGTAGAATACGATATTTTACCCCACAGAGCAGAATAAGTAGCTACCTTATTTCATTATCTTTATATAAAACAAGGATTCAGAATTTGGGATCTGAATACTTTGTGAAGAATTACTATAGTAAGAAGAGGGCTTTGACATTGAAGAGATTTGCTTGGTAAGATTATGCCAAAAATATGCACATTCTTTAATTCCTTTCATCTAAGATTTTCAGAAGCAAATAAATAGCTATAGAAAATGTAATTCACGACCTGTTTTCATAAGTTAAATTCTGTCTTCAGCTGTCAAGTATTTTTAGGGTTTCGCAGTCAAACACTTCAAGTTCTAGTATAAATTGCTGTCTGTCATGTCTCAGTAGAGCTTTAAAGACGTTTACTAAACGTTTAGATATACATGCATATTAGGAGAGAGAACTCCCATATTGCATGTCATGTTTGAGTCCTGTCTGCTCATGGCTACATTGATAAACACACCATTTTTGTCTTGTCATGTGCTTTGACAATATTCTGAGAAATTCTGGTCATGTCACAATACATGCTTCTTGCCTAGGGACAGACATTACACATAAACCGGTTTAAGTGATCAGAAACTGGTCTAAACCTGTAACAGAACATAAGTTCAGTGCATATAAACCAGTTTGAGAAAAACCTGGTTGAATATAGTATCAGACTTAACTGATTTGGCTCAAACCAGTTTTTGCAATGTCTGTCCCAGACCCCTTGCTAGTTTAAATTAAATGAGACTCCCCCAGCATCCCAGCATGCTCCCTGGGCTGGGTGGGGCTCTCTTCTCCACAGCAGGGCCGACCCCTCCTCTCTGTTCCCTGGCTGCAGCTTCCACAGAGACTTCTAGGCACAGCAGTGTCTGCCTGCTGTCCCTTACCTCCCTTCCCCACTCTCCGCTAAGCAGGCATGCCCCATCCCTCACAGACACCTCTCAGCGTTAGCTAGCAGACCACATGCTGCCCACCTGCGAACTGTGGCAGACGGTACAAAGGCAGAATCAACAGACAGCTGGTCATGTCCCTCTGTTTTCTTAGTGGGCTGATAAACACTTGAGTTAGGGGTGATAAACATTCCCCACGGGGTTGTCGAGGGGGGGGGACCCCACCCTAATCAGAGCATCCTGCTGGGGCCTGGCCACACACCCCTCAGCTCAGCTCTGTGGAAAGGAAGGGAGGGCTGGCCTAGTGCTCCCCAGCTTCTAGTCTGAGCCACTGCAGGCATGTGCCTGCATGTCTGGGATGTCTGTCTGGTTACAAAACTGGTTTAGCCTAGCCAGGTTAGACTAACATGAAAAGATTGATTCAATTCAGGCTCAGGCTTTTTGAATGTCTGTCCCTAGCCCTTATGCATCACATAATTACAATCCTGTTACGTGCTTTATTATCTAATTGTGTTTCTGCTGCAGTCCTGGCCAACCAGAGTATTACGATTGTATTGTCACTGCTATTCTGTAATATAATAAAATTTGCAAGAGCTAGGTTACTTCCTGGTGAAGTAGAGCTATTCATAGCTTTTCCTAAAAATCATTATATAGTTTTGCTTCTGCCGAATAGGTTCTTTGTACTGCCCCAGAGGTGGCTGTATTTTAGTAGAGATCTCTGACCTCAAAGGCGTCTTAAGGATTTGTCCTTTTAAGATAAAGAGTTTGATATAAATGTAGGATGCTAATATCAGTTAACTTCAATAAGACAGTTATCATCCTTCATATGCTATTTGGTAAAGAAAAGAAAGTACATATTAGATGCTAATACTATTCATGTTTACCCCAAAAGTGAGATGAGTTTCCTGTCCATTAAAGGAGGATCATTTAATTTTTATTCCCTATTGGTATTTATGAAAGCAAAATATGATAGTTTGCAAAATGGGTAAACTTTTCCAGAATTTCTACAGAGAGAAGATCCAGTATCATATATAACACCAGTGCATATCATTATCTAGAGTCAGACAATGATTCTTTTTTTTGATCACCCTCCTAAGAAAAAATTACCCCTTCGAACTTTTCAGGGTTTAAAAGAAGTTGTATTAACAGATATTATTTTACCCATCACTTTTCTTTATACAAGTGTTGGAGAAATCACTCTCACTATACAAAATATACATGCACAGACTTCAGGTCCTAACAGCTGTTGTATAAAATAACATAATTATAACACTGGCTTCTTCTGTGTCTTCATACATTGAGCTCTTTTCCTTAAGAGCCATTCTCATTACAGATGAAGGCACAACAAATGTACAGGCTTCTGCTGCACAATCTTATATTATGTTAAAGTGACATTCTTCTGTGTTAAGGAAAATAAAACTAAGACTTCTTTCACAGGGAATCAAATATGCAGTTAATAGGAGATTCTCATCTTTCTAAATCACGAGGAACTTAATGTACTATGAGTTAATGTGTCTAGAATGAAGCAGTTAATAGCGTCTCCGCAGTAACTGCAAGTCATTTGAAGTTGTGGTATAGCTACTATTATGAAATTGGAAAGTCTGCTTCTACTCTGTATTCAAGATTAAGCTTCAAGCTTTCAGATTTTGCTGAGCCCAGGAAGGTTTTTTTTTTTTTTTTTTTTTTTACAAATTCCTGACCTAGCCTTAACCTTTGCTTTTGATATTCCAAGTCTTCCACCAGTCGAGTTGTTTATTATCAGTACCTTCTACCTGGCTTTCATTATGGTAGTAATACTTCAGGTCTCATATGCCTTCTGAACATACTTTGCTGAATTTCTTTTTGGAGAAGGAAAGCCCAGTACCTTTTGATTAAAAAGAAGTGCTTTTTTCCTGTTTCCTAGTGCACTTCTAGTTGGGCCAACCAGATTTTTCATGCATTGGAAGATCCTGGAGCTGTGGGTCTTCATGATTTTGTTTCTCTATCTTGAGTTCAAGTTCCTTTATGCTTTATGGTAAAGAACCAGCTCTTTTACATGGGGATATTCTGTTAGACCTGACAGTACCAAGGGCAAATCCAAACCATCTTGTAAGGTAAACTGGAAGAGAAATTCCATATGAATCTCCTAGTGGCAAGAGATGCCTCTGTGATGATCCCAATCTGTCTCTGCCTCGAAGAACAAGGATATCTTGAAGTCCATATGGCATCATTAAGACATATAAGCTACAAGATGAAAAAAGACCTGTCAGACTCCTCTAGTCTATCATAAATTTTGTCCCTCTCTTCCCCAATACATGCTAGTTCCCTAGTATGTATTTTTAACAATGTTTTTAGTGCTAAAGTTTTGAGACCCAATGCTTCCTCAGCTGTCATTGAGAGACTGCTCTGTGCCCTAATCCAGTGATTGTTTCTTGGTCAGCCTAGTCATCTAAGTTTATCCCATCACTGTTAGTTATGTTTCCCCTTTTCTGACTTAAAGAAAGGAAAGGATTTTTTTCAATTGTACATCCGTTAGACAATTCACATTCCAAGACCCACTATATTATTATTTGCACTGGTCAGTTTTGAACTGCCACCAGATTTTCCTTTTTTAGGTACTGCCGAAAAAGTATACTGGGTACAGTTTCAGGAGAGCACAAGTATCCCCTTCCTCTTCTGTGTCTTAATCTCTTTTTTATGTAGTACACAATGAGTGCATTTTATGCTTAATCTCTGTCTGTTATTGCCTGAGGTCTCTTTCAGCAGTATTGCTCCCTGGGGACAGATATTCAGCTAGACAGTAAATTGTCCTAACTGTTGAAATCAAGGTGTTTCCTGTCAGTGTGAATATCTGTGTGAGAGAGGATTTTCCCACAGAAACATGAACTTGCATTTTTCTGTGTTCAATTACTCTCTTGATTTCCTGCCCATATTTCTAGAGCATTTGTGTAATTTCCCTTTCCTCAGTGTTGTGCTTCCTAGATGAGTGTCATGAACTTGATGTGCCTTCTTACTGTCCTCTTCCCAGAAACAAATAAAGATGGTCTTTTAAGTAAAACAAAGCATAATCATAGCCCATTAGTCACCCCACTCCAGGCTGGGTGCCATGCTGTTTGTCACTACTGTTTGCCTACAGTTTTTCAGTCAGTTTTCAATTCACATGATAGGAATTTTTCAAGTAAGATTTGAAGAGTCTCAAATGCATCATTGAAAACAACATGCTTTGTCTTGAGTTCATTCTCTTTGTCTGGTTATTCTGTAATCCTGTAAAATTATGCCTTTTTGGCATGATTGCTGCTTTACAAGCCCATGCTGCTTATTGCTAATGGTTTGGTTATTTTCTACATGTGGCTGCACCTACGTGAGTCTGACTGCACATTTGTTACTGTGCAGCCATTTAGGACTTGTATAAGCAAGTACTAAATGACTCAGAGTAACTAGAGTTACCACACAGTAGTGTTGCATTATGCTTCCTGCCATGTGACACTACTGCACAGTTAGCATCTCGTGTAGACGCAGTCAGTGTGATTTTTTTTTTTTTTTTTTT